TATATATATATATATATATGTGTATATACACACTCGTATTTAGTCAGGCTTTATATTTAAGGCTTCTTTTATCTTTAGATATTCTACGAATTATTTCATTGGCTGCTGAGCATCTAAAAATAAATTTAAGAAATCCTTACAAGGTCTGACTATGAATACAGGTATTAGTGTATCTAATTAATATACACTAATTAAAATATATTAATGTATCGAAGCTGTTGTTATCGACTCATCTAAGGCTTTTCGCACAATGGAAGAAATATTAGGAATGATAATAAATATTATAATATTAGAGAAATAAAAGAATTAATTGAATAAAGATCCTATGTAATGCATAGTAATATAAATAAGACATAAGATATAATGTTATATGTATAATCTTGTTATTTGTATTGTGTGTTGAATCTCTATTCCTAGATTTTGTATTTCTCTGATATTTGATATTTATTCTTATTCCTATTATTTCTTCCATTGTGCGCAAGCTTTAATTTCGATTATCTAGGAGGCGTTTAAAGTTTAGGTGGGGAAAAGTTAGAAACTTATTTTCGAACACCTTTGTCACCTTGTTGATTTCAAGACCATTCGATTCGATTGTTCGAGACTTCTAACTTACTCTCATTTTTTAAGTTGATTCCAACAATTTCAACTTGTAAAAATTGATTCGGACGTAGATAATAAAAATAACAGGAACTGAATGTTTTGTAGTCACGTTTATTAAAAATCTGCTTTCGTTATTTGCGTTCAATTCGATTAGTATTCGCATTGATATTTGTATTTAAGGAGGTGTGAGAAAGTTGCTAGGATACCTTGCAGAGTTACTCGTTTGTTTAGTGCGTAAAATGACGTCTGACTCGTGGTTGAAGATAATTCAGAATGCCAGGAAAACTGCTGTTATTGAGGATGGTAATTAAATAGTTTATAATGTTTAATTAATATCGATCGAAACACGTGTTTATATGACGCTCGTTTCTAACCTAAAAATATTTGATCAATACTCGTGTAATTTTATACAAGCATGAACAGCATGTAGAATTATATTAAAACATCATTTTAGACTATATAAGCTTGTTATTAATTCTATAATATCTTCTTACATTGATTCTTTTTGATATTTTTAAACTTATGAGTATATATGAATTTATCTTTAATATTTTAAGTTACACACACACATATATATATATATTTAATTTGTTTAAATATAATATAAATAATTGGTTTAAATATAATTTGTTTATATATTTGTATAAATATATTATTAAGGCCTCTATTTTGTTAACTCTTAACAACAGTGTTACAATGTCGTTGCACAGCTTTTTTTATTTTTTATTTTTTATATATGAAACCTGTGTAATATATAAATAACGCCAATTCTTTAAGAGTCATGGAATAAGGACAGATAAGAGACTAATGCAGGAAGCATTAGTTTCTTTTTTTGATTTTGTTATATTTTGCAGGAAAAAGAAAAGTTCATTTTTTAATGGAAAATGGGAAGGAAATGGTAGAAGAATATAGTACAGATACAAATGTAGTAGTACGACGAGCATGGAAAGAAAAAAATGATTTCGGTACGAACATTGGATGGATGGTGGAAGTTGGAGATCCTGAACTTAAACAAAATAATATAGAAATCTATGGAATAGAAGAAAGTTCAAATACTGTAAGTCATTTTCTTTTTATGAATGAAGAGAATGTAATTGAATAATATAGATATAGTGAAATTTTAAATAATATCTAATTGTGCGTGTTCTAAGTTAATTTTATCTTGCAGCCTATTATTACTAGGAGAATTACAAAAGCGTCTCTGGAATGGCGAATCAGGAATTTGCCATATCCTGAAAGCGTATATTCTATTACTGCAGAACATGATGGCACTATGACTGTACGTACAAGTAACAAAAAATATTTTAAAAAGATAAAGATTCCAGATCTTGAGAGAATTGGACTAAAACCAGAACAGGAAAGGATATCATTTCGGCATCAATATAATACTTTGATTATAACGGTATGTAAAATGCTTTTTCGTAAATATATACTTTGCTACGCATCATTTAGTCTTTATTTTATTTATTTTTTTATTTTAGTATAAAAAGCCTCCTCAACTTCTCAACATGGAAAAGAAAATATTAGCTGCAGTTTTGCAACTGAAGACAGACTCTAAGGATGTACAGTGTCCGACTAGTTAATAAAATAAATTATGATTATATCATGATTATATCATTATGATTATTAAATTTATTTTCAAATTTTATTAAATTATAATTTGTAACAATTAGTATGATTAAATAATACCATTTGTTACTTAAATATAGTATCGAGATTTTCGTGATTAAAATCTTCCCTCTTTTCACTTAGTACGATGATAATAATAAATTGGAATTCTTAAATATGTTTCTCTTTCAATTAATAACAATTGTAAACAAATATAGTTAAAATAAAATGACTAATTGGAAAGGAATAGTTGCAATCTTGCTTATTTAAGCTATAATTTTTAATTATAATTTAAATAATGGAAATTGGAAATAAATTGGTGTTTTTCCAAATAGAAGGCTTTATTTTTTTTTCTATAGTAGCACCTTTTTCTAATATTTAAAAAGATGTTAGAATGTTTGAAACATTTTAAACATTCTAAATACAAACTTTCTTTTTCATATATATATTACCAGAATTTTCATTACCAGAATTTAATTGTAACCTAACGCTTTTTCCTTTACTTCCTTATAATAAGCATACTTGTTAGCATTAATATTCTAATTAAAATGTCTAATTAAATAAATGAACAACGCAAGCAAGATTCTCGGTTTCTTTTAAAGTTCGAGAAATGTTCGTGTTGCAATGAATGCAAACGGAGTATTCATTACAAAGATATCTATAAGAAAAATGATGAGTAAAAAATATAATTAAAATTATTCACAAAAGGAAAAAAAATTATGTATTTCAAAATTAATTAATTATAGCAATACTAGATATAATTAATCAAATTGCTTTTAATTTTTAATTTTTAAAATAATATAAACATTAATTTTGTTATAGTATTATGTTAGACTAAAAATTATCTCTATTGAACAATTTTTTAATTCTTTTCTAATTTCTATTTATATTCACTTTTCTTGGTTTCTTAATTTAGAACATAATAAATAAATATAATAATATAATATCAAATTCGAAAAGTTTTAACTTGTGTCATTTTTCTTGTGATATTAGACTTATATCGAAATTAGACTTCAATAATGTATCAAAATATAAATGTCGAAGAGAGTTTATTAATCTTTTTATGATAGCAACTTCATATTTTGGGGGCCACTCCTTTTTACTTTGTAAAATGCTCACTCGATTTTTATAAAACTGTGGAGGAATCCTCTATGGAGGAATTTTGATAATGCTTTATTTAAATGTAAAATTAAAAAATTCAAAAGAGCGAATTTAATATGGTGAACAGAATTTTAAAAAACTCTGATTATCAAAATTAGGAAATTTTTAATAGTGAAGTATGTATTAACGCCGAGATACTACCGCGTCTTTAGATATAGGTTCATATATATATATATAACAATAACAAAAATTCTATTAGAACTTTCCAAATTTAAAACAATAAAGAAACAATGTAGTAGGCTAATGAGAGTCAGCAACGATATAAACGGCGCAATTATTTGAACTATCAAATATTGGATTGATGTCATCTTCATTTGTGAACGTTTTAATTCCCTTTGGAATTCTCCTCAACTTGATACAAGTATAAATAGCTCACATGTCCATAATGCTTAAGTCACTCGCAAATTGACAAATATGTAGCGTTGTTAATCTGATGTTTCTAAAAATTCTCATTAGATCTATACAAGTGTGTAAGTCAACAAATTTTTGAATGACTTACCATCAAGGAACATGAAGCGTGTCACGAAGCTTATAATTAGTTATAAATGTTAAAACTTAAAATTAGATATGTTAATATCAAAATTAATGATCACAATTATCAAACACATGTACATGTACGAAGATGTGTCGCTCAGATCTAAACTATTAATCTTGAAGTAAGAGGTCATACAGTAAGAACATTAAGGAAAATTTGCAATTATCAAGAATAATATGTAAATTGATGTTCCAACAAAAAACGCAATAAACAATTATAAAGGAAAATGAGTTGAAACGTTCACAGATAAAGATGATATCAATCCAATATTTGAGTATTAATAGTTCCATAAATAATTGCCGTTTATCATTGATACTCATTAGCCTACTATATTGTTTCTTTATTGTTCTTTATTGTTTCTTATACATATATACATACACACACACACACACACACACACACACACACACGCGCGCGCGCGCGCGCGCGCGCGTGTACTTGATAATATATCATTGCAGTTCCGATTTTTTAAAGTTTATTAATGGCACGCTAATATTTTGAATCAATTTGAAACTTCAACTTTCAACTTTGATATGTTGTAAGTTTGTACATAGTATTAAATTGCACAGTAATATTTTTCCAAATCAGGAAGGATTCATTTTTTTTTGCAATCATAGCATCACAAGATTTTTTTCAGAAAGATCTCATCTTCAAAGGATTAAAAAGTTACTTTTATATCAGTTTATTGCAATTCACTCATAAAACTCCGTCAAATCGTCGCGCGTTATCATGTCGAGAGATCGATCGATCTTTCTATAGGTCTTCGATTCCGTGCGAGTGCGTCTGCTGTTCTAGCTGCGTACGCGTGCTGTGTGACGGCGATATTGCGTTTTAGTGTTATGTTGTTCATTTCGCGAGAAAATCTTTGAGCGAGCAGCAAATATGACGAATTCGGTGCCGGACAGGTAAGCGGCTTTGTTTGTTGTACAGGAAAATTTGCCAAGTTTCTCGAAATAGTTGAAAATCGCTTGCGTAACGTTATCGCAAGTAGGGTCGAATCGTAATGAGGTTATGTTGTACCGACTTTTTAGACGTTTCAGATTGTTTCAAATACGTCCCGTAGCCGCGTTGTTAAAACGCAATCGTACGCGATCATTGATCCGCGAGGCATAATGTCATTTTTATCTAACGTATCAAATAGAATCAACAGCAAGACATACTGCTGGCTCCGGGAAAACGATTCGACGCTATTTTCAGAGATAGCTAACTTATCAACGGAGTACGTAGAGTACACGTATCTGATCACTCGCTGTTTCCCGCCTTTTTTTCCAAGATGGAGTTATATATCTGCTCAACAATATTCGAATGCGAGTTACTCGGTGAGTTAGTTTGATTCCCGCAATTATTAATCTTCGATCAGCGAATTAATCGTATGACTTTCCTTAGGGCAGAAACGTGAAAGTGAAAATTTTTTGTATTTTGTGTGTATACATGTGCATACATACATACATACATACATTCATAAAAATTTTCATTTATCATATTTCCGTTCGGAAAAGAGTTACATGATTGTATCGACCCATTGTACTCAGATTTTGTTTTGATATATGTGATGTCTATATTCTACAATAGAGCAGTAAGCCTTAAGTCATAGGAAATTAGTAAAAGTATGATCAATTCTCACATTTGTCTTTGATTGGTCAATTTCTTATTACTCTATTGTAGTGATTGTGTAATAATTATCGTGCTGTTTAGTTTTTTTAGTGATGTTCTTTTGTAAAATAGTCGATATCGATTGGAATAAATGAGGCGAGGAGAATACATTCCTGTAAGATAAATACGATATTTGCAATTGTATCGATTTAAATCTGTTGATTAAGATTGATAGTAAATGGAAGGATGCAAAAGAAATGATGAGATATCTTGATATTTTATCATTTTTTTTTCATTACATTAGGAATTTACATTAGGAAAAGTGTTTTGTTCTATGAGTCAAAATTTTGCTGTAATAACAAGTATATTTAATTGAAATGAATATTTAATTGTACTGAACAAAAATTTTTAGTTAATATGTATTAAACAAAAGTATAATTTTATGTGAACTAAAAATGTTTAATTGGTATAAACAAATATTTTTATTATTTACAAATCAGAATAATATATTTCGCAAGAGAAAAGCAACTAAATACTTTGATTACGTAAACAATAATATAAAATATGTATAAGCTATTAAAAAATATACCTTTTTAAATATAACAATTTTGCTGAAAATATTAAATTTTTTTTTAATATATAACATACGGAATCAAATTTGGAAATCAGATTCGAAGAGTGATGATGAATAAATATAAAATTTTGTATCTAATCCGCGTTCTCATTCAATCTACTTAACTTTGTTAAATCGCTGCAAATGCAACGCTATTTAGGTATTATTAGTGGCAGCAGAGAAAGCAGCTTTGATCTGTTGTCAAATTCTTTAATATAATTGGTTTATACATTTAAATCCAATGAAAAACTAAGAGCAAGACTAATCATATATTATATTAAATAACTTTACAATTGCAAAGCTGTTTTATTTGTTGAATGCAATCACTCCTATAATTATTGTTTCTGCGTATTTCAGATGGTTAGAGTACAATGCTTTCGGCGATGTGATCAAGGGCACCAAGATTTTAGCATTCAAAGTTCCGCTGAAGGATGTGAGTATTTGCGCAATTCATTAAGTCGTACTTTTTAACTCTGTAGTAACTTTTACAACCTGTGAAATTATTTCAAATACAATTAAAAAAAACAAAGTTAATGATTTTTAGCAATAAATATAGTATACCATATAAAATATAAATAAATATAAAATAAAAATATAGTATGAAATAATAAACTATAAAAGAAGAAAAGCAAAATATTTCTTTCGGATTGAAATAAGAATTACATAAAAATTGAATAGAGCGAATAAACAAAAAGAATTTAACAAATACCACAAATAAGACGTATTCCTTATATCGTTTCGGATTGTGAAATAATAATAGCATAAATAATCAAATTAGAATGAATGAATAAGGAAAATGTAACAAGCACCAGAAATATATATTTTTTTACATTCTGAGAACATTGATCCTGATGTTAAATATAAAGATATATAATTTAATAAACCGTTATACTTGCACGATCTACTTCTAAGAAACATTTATATTTGATATTTAAAAGTAACGAAAAACACATTTCGGTTTTCTCTAAAGAAGATTTACTCCGAAAAAAGATTTATTTAAAATAAAAAAAGTTTTTAGAAATTGCATCGCTCTTGTGAAACATTGTCACGGTTCACTTGGAAACAAAATGCCCTTCGCCGTTTCCTCGGCTTCTCCCTCGTTCCTCGATTGTCCTCTCCCGTACTTCTCCTCGCATTAAATCAGATTCTCTTCGCGGGAGTCGTGGCGGCTGCACAGCAGATAAGATCGCGTCGGATTCTCGAAATGGACGACGCGGCAGGTACACGCGTCGTCGCTACGCCACGTGCGCGCCTGTGTATGAATGCGTGCACGCAAACACGCACGCCCGTAGGCACGCACGTACGCACGCACGGCTCGTGGGATCGTGGCACGGATCTCCGTTAAATCGATGCGAACATCAGGGAACCGGAGGAAATGAGAGGGTGAAGACTCGGAGAGCTGCACGTTTACTCCGGAGGGGTATAACGGGAGGATAGGAAAGCAACGTCGTGAGATCTCGTATCGGCCGCGGCCAAATTGTCGTATTGTTGTACACGATGACCCACTCCGTAGATATAAACAGGCTTGATGTATGCGCGCTCCTGTAGCCGGTGCACAGGCAGTATTGCCAGGGTGCACGTCGCCGCGCCGTCGATTCTTCTTCGGGTTTAAATCCTCCGACTAGATAAAATGCTCCAATGCCGACGGCTGTGTGCTGTAACGCAAGCTGGTTGACGTATGGCCATTCACGCTGCGATCTATCGCTTCTCATTGAAATCTTTGGGATTATCCGGCAATACAATTTTTGTAAAAGGGACAGATGGTTATTCAAAGTTTGATGATAGAATTCTCGATTCATCCGTCATAAGTGACGATATTATAATATTGATCGGATTTGGTCAATTCTATTTATTTGCTTTGTTGACATTTATCCATAAATTACTTTATGTTTCTATTGGAAAATATTTAATGAAATTTCTAGGCATAAGAATTATTAAATGTAATTCTGACATAAAGAAGTATTAAATATAAAGAAATAAGAATGAAAAACAATAAGACGTTAGATTATCGAATTGATTATTATCGGGTCATGACTTTTACTAATCTATAATATACATGATTATTGCGTAATCTATTATACGTAAAGTATAATTTTACTGATGTATCTAAGAATTTAGCTAAATGGAAATAATTTTATTGGACTCTATTTCCAAATAATTATATAAGACGCTCAAGTTACTAGAATGTCAAAATTTTTGGCAGCATTCATTATACTTGAGTATAACTATTTCTTGATAGTCAAAAATTATTTTTATATCATTATGTCTACCTAAATTTTTAAATACTTTAGCATGCTTTTCATATAATTAAATTAATTAGCTATAATAATCATGTTACTCTCTTTTTCTCAATTTATGTTATTTTATTCGTGAATGTATGTTTACAACATAAAAAATGTATCGACAATCGTCTGTACATGGCAAAAATTTTAATTGAATTAAATTTTAATTGATTTAATATATATATATATATATATATAGTTCTTTCTATATATTTAAAAATAAAATATGCGCGAGCGAATTTCGTGGATACTAATCTATATACGCTTGAAAAAAATATCTTATATAAATATATAAAGAAAATATTGTCGACATCTAATAACCGCGTCGCAGTATTTTTACTACCAAAATAATAAGAGAGATCATACTGTTGTTTCCTGGTTATCGGCCTAAGGGCCGCGCATATGCCATGTTGCGTATGCTGATTATGGACGATGCGGCGCGTAGTCTCCTAATTGACCGCACAACGGTGCCCAGGTTTCACAGGACATAAAACATTTTTATATACCTTCGGTTCGTCGAGATCTCATTAAAATACGTAACGATAGTCTGCCTAATTGACCGCGCCGTGCTGGGTTATGATGGCGCATTCCTGATCGGCGTGTATATTGTACAATACCTATATAATTCGTTGAATCTCTTCGCTTATAACATAATCTCTCGCGTCGTCATGATTCTTGTTATCTTACCAAAGATACGATTAGATAGACCATTATGACACTTATGTTATACTAACGATAGTTATATGTTAATCAATGTAGAACAATGATTAACATGCCGCATTTATACTGAGATGATGAATAATGATGAAAGTTTCCAATAATTTATTTTGAAAGATTATCATTTTTTTTTTATTTCTTCGTCGATGATGCTACTTACCGCGACATATATTGTATGATGGTATAATATATTTACATGGAAAATTTTGCTGAAGTATTTAAAAATTGAGTTAGATATAAATCTAAACTGATTTTCTTGGATCATCAAAATAATTATATAGAACGCTACTATGATGAATAAGTATGATGAATAATGCTGCGAAAAGTTTTGACATTCTAATAATCAGTTTGAGCGTCCCATATAATTATTTTTATGGTTCAACCAAATTATTTTCAGCTCTGTGTGTATTTAGTTAAATTTTTAAATATTTAGCGAAACACTATTCTTTATATATATATATATAT